AGCAGTGTTGGTGAGGAGCAGTGTTGGTGAGGAGCAGTGTTGGTGAGGAGCAGTGTTGGTGAGGAGCAGTGTTAGAGAGGAGCAGTGTTGGTGAGGAGCAGTGTTGGTGAGGAGCAGTGTTAGAGAGGAGCAGTGTTGGTGAGGAGCAGTGTTGGTGAGGAGCAGTGTTGGTGAGGAGCAGTGTTGGTGAGGAGCAGTGTTGGTGAGGAGCAGTGTTGGTGAGGAGCAGTGTTGGTGAGGAGCAGTGTTGGTGAGGAGCAGTGTTGGTGAGGAGCAGTGTTAGTGAGGAGCAGTGTTAGAGAGGAGCAGTGTTGGTGAGGAGCAGTGTTGGTGAGGAGCAGTGTTGGTGAGGAGCAGTGTTGGTGAGGAGCAGTGTTGGTGAGGAGCAGTGTTGGTGAGGAGCAGTGTTGGTGAGGAGCAGTGTTGGTGAGGAGCAGTGTTGGTGAGGAGCAGTGTTGGTGAGGAGCAGTGTTGGTGAGGAGCAGTGTTGGTGAGGAGCAGTGTTAGTGAGGAGCAGTGTTGGTGAGGAGCAGTGTTGGTGAGGAGCAGTGTTGGTGAGGAGCAGTGTTGGTGAGGAGCAGTGTTAGTGAAGAGCAGTGTTGGTGAAGAGCAGTGTTGGTGAAGAGCAGTGTTGGTGAGGAGCAGTGTTGGTGAGGAGCAGTGTTGGTGAGGAGCAGTGTTGGTGAGGAGCAGTGTTGGTGAGGAGCAGTGTTAGTGAGGAGCAGTGTTGGTGAGGAGCAGTGTTGGTGAGGAGCAGTGTTGGTGAGGAGCAGTGTTGGTGAGGAGCAGTGTTAGTGAGGAGCAGTGTTGGTGAGGAGCAGTGTTGGTGAGGAGCAGTGTTGGTGAGGAGCAGTGTTGGTGAGGAGCAGTGTTGGTGAGGAGCAGTGTTGGTGAGGAGCAGTGTTGGTGAGGAGCAGTGTTGGTGAGGAGCAGTGTTGGTGAGGAGCAGTGTTAGTGAGGAGCAGTGTTAGTGAGGAGCAGTGTTAGTTTGCACATAGGGTCAAGAGCGTGGAGTCTTATCCCCCCATGTCAGTACACACCGATAAAAAAAAAGTTTCGGCTATCAAATAACAATACAGGTGACTATCAGGTGAATTATACAATATTAGGTTATAATCAGGGGAACTATCTAAGGCTGGGGAACTATCAGATAATAGATGCAATCTGAGTGAACTATCAGAATACAAATAAGAACTGTGTAAATTATTAAACTACAATAATATTAATTATAAAATAATAAGTCACTACCAGGTAAACTATAGAGATAATTGACAACTATCAAAGGAAAGGTGACGATCAGGTGAATCATCAGAGGACAGGTAACAATCAGAAAATACTCGCTAGAAAACAATTCATGCCAGTTATCACCGAGCAACTCGTCAACCAAATGATCATTAGGTTACTGTGCAGTTATCTTGCGTTTACCTTGTATTGGGTTCGAGAATAACTGTTCCTGCGGCCCGGTCTCTGACCAGACCTATTGGTTGCTGATCTGGTTAACAAGGCTTGTATGAATCATAGCCAGATTTATACGTTGATTGTATACCGGTCACTACGACACACACCAACACTGGTGGTCACCACGACATACACCAACACTGGTGGTCACTACGACACACACCAACACTGGCAGTCACGACGAGACACACCAACACTGGTGGTCACTACGACACACACCAACACTGGTGGTCACTACGACACACACCAACACTGGCGGTCACTACGACACACACCAACACTGGTGCTCACTACGACACACACCAACACTGGTGGTCACTACGACACACACCAACACTGGTGGTCACTACGACACACACCAACACTGGTGGTCACAACGACACACACCAACACTGGTGGTCACTACGACACACACCAACACTGGCGGTCACTACGACACACACCAACACTGGTGCTCACTACGACACACACCAACACTGGTGGTCACTACGACACACACCAACACTGGCGGTCACTACGACACACACCAACACTGGTGCTCACTACGACACACACCAACACTGGTGGTCACTACGACACACACCAACACTGGTGGTCACTACGACACACACCAACACTGGTGGTCACAACGACACACACCAACACTGGTGGTCACTACGACACACACCAACACTGGCGGTCACTACGACACACACCAACACTGGTGCTCACTACGACACACACCAACACTGGTGGTCACTACGACACACACCAACACTGGTGGTCACTACGACACACACCAACACTGGTGGTCACAACGACACACACCAACACTGGTGGTCACTACGACACACACCAACACTGGCGGTCACTACGACACACACCAACACTGGTGCTCACTACGACACACACCAACACTGGTGGTCACTACGACACACACCAACACTGGTGGTCACTACGACACACACCAACACTGGTGGTCACAACGACACACACCAACACTGGTGGTCACTACGACACACACCAACACTGGCGGTCACTACGACACACACCAACACTGGTGCTCACTACGACACACACCAACACTGGTGGTCACTACGACACACACTAACACTGGTGGTCACTACGACACACACCAACACTGGTGGTCACAACGACACACACCAACACTGGTGGTCACTACGACACACACCAACACTGGCGGTCACTACGACACACACCAACACTGGTGCTCACTACGACACACACCAACACTGGTGGTCACTACGACACACACCAACACTGGTGCTCACTACGACACACACCAACACTGGTGGTCACTACGACACACACCAACACTGGTGGTCACTACGACACACACCAACACTGGTGGTCACTACGACACACACCAACACTGGCGGTCACTACGACACACACCAACACTGGTGCTCACTACGACACACACCAACACTGGTGGTCACTACGACACACACCAACACTGGTGGTCACTACGACACACACCAACACTGGTGCTCACTACGACACACACCAACACTGGTGGTCACTACGACACACACCAACACTGGTGGTCACTACGACACACACCAACACTGGCGGTCACTACGACACACACCAACACTGGTGCTCACTACGACACACACCAACACTGGCGGTCACAACGACACACACCAACACTGGCGGTCACAACGACACACACCAACACTGGCGGTCACTACGACACACACCAACACTGGTGGTCACTACGACACACACCAACACTGGTGGTCACTACGACACACACCAACACTGGCGGTCACTACGACACACACCAACACTGGTGGTCACTACGACACACACCAACACTGGTGGTCACTACGACACACACCAACACTGGTGCTCACTACGACACACACCAACACTGGTGGTCCCTACGACACACACCAACACTGGTGGTCACTACGACACACACCAACACTGGTGGTCACCACGACACACACCAACACTGGCAGTCACCACGACACACACTAACACTGGCAGTCACCACGACACACTAACACTGGCAGTCACCACGACACACACCAACACTGGCGGTCACTACGACACACACCAACACTGACGGTCACCACGACACACACCAACACTGGCGGTCACTAAGACTCACACCAACACTGACGGTCACCGCTAACACACACCAACACTGGCGGTCACTTCGACATGCACCAACACTGGCGGTCACTAAGACTCACACCAACACTGGCGGTCACCGCTAACACACACCAACACTGGCGGTCACCGCTAACACACACCAACACTTGCGGTCACCGCTAACACACACCAACACTGGCGGTCGCTACGACACACACCAACACTGGCGGTCACTGCGACACACACCAACACTGGTGGTCACTACGACACACACCAACACTGGCGGTCACTACGACACACACCAACACTGGCGGTCACTGCGACACACACCAACACTGGCGGTCACTACGACACACACCAACACTGGCAGTCACTGCGACACACATCAACACTGGCGGTCACTGCGACACACACCAACACTGGCGGTCACTACGACACACACCAACACCACCGGCGGTCACTGCGACACACACCAACACTGGCAGTCACTACGACACACACCAACACTGGCGGTCATCACGACACACACCAACACTGGCGGTCACTGCGACACACACCAACACTGGCGGTCACTGCGACACACACCAACACTGGCAGTCACTACGACACACACCAACACTGGCGGTCACTACGACACACACCAACACTGGCGGTCACTACGACACACACCAACACTGGCGGTCACTACGACACACACCAACACTGGCGGTCACTGCGACACACACCAACACTGGCGGTCACTGCGACACACACCAACACTGGCAGTCACTACGACACACACCAACACTGCCGGTCACCACGACACACACCAACACTGGCGGTCACCACGACACACACCAACACTGGCGGTCACTACGACACACCAACACTGGCGGTCACTACGACACACACCAACACTGGCGGTCACTACGACACACACCAACACTGGCGGTCACTACGACACACACCAACACTGGCGGTCACTACGACACACACCAACACTGGCGGTCACTACGACACACACCAACACTGGCGGTCACTACGACACACACCAACACCACCGGCGGTCACTACGACACACACCAACACCACCGGCGGTCACTACGACACACACCAACACCACCGGTGGTCACCACGACACACACCAACACTGGCGGTCACTACGACACACACCAACACCACCGGCGGTCACCACGACACACACCAACACTGGTAGTCACTACGACACACACCAACACCACTGGCAGTCACCACGACACACACCAACACCACTGGCGGTCACCACGACACACACCAACACCACTGGCGGTCACTACGACACACACCAACACCACTGGCAGTCACCACGACACACACCAACACCACTGGCGGTCACTACGACACACACCAACACCACTGGCAGTCACCACGACACACACCAACAGATAGTCAACAATCAGGAAAGAAGCACTGTGACCCACCTGAGGAGAACCAGCCGAATCCTGCAGGCTGGGGATGGTCGGCGTGGATGAAGGTGATGTTGACGCTCCGGGTGTAGACGGAGGAGACCCGCACCCGGCAGCCTAGTGTGAGAGCCCCGCGCTGCAACCACGACTCTCGCACCTCCACCTCCACCTCCTGCCCGAACATTACTCACTTACATAACATATACATTATATATATATATATATATATATATATATATATATATATATATATATATATATATATATATATATATATATATATATATATATATATATATATATATATATATATATATATATATATACTTATATATATATATATAAGTATATATATATATATATATATATATATATATATATATATATATATATATATATATATATATATATATATATATATATTATAATATGCGAATAAGCTTGAATGGTCCCAAAGCCAATATGCAACTGAAAACTCCACACTCCAGAAGGATTCGAACCCAGACATCTGTGATGCGTAGTTTTCCTGGCTGTCTGGGTTCGAATCCCTCTGGGGTGTGGAGTTTACAGTTTTATATATATTTTATATAATGGCAATTAATACTCATTATAATATAATGGGTATTAATTGGGTATTAAATTTATCAACAAGGGCAGCTTATGTTTCTGAGGTAGGATCGTTGGATCCTATCTCTGCATTGACTCAGGGTCTTGAAGTGGGTAGAATGTAATTATGTGTTAGCTGGTTGTTGATTGCTGGTCTGGACTTCATGATACGTAGTGCCTTGCTGATGTCCAGTCTTCTGCTGTCGTTATACCTGTCGATTATTTCAGTGTTGCTTCTCAAGATGTCTTTAGCGATGATCTGATTATGTGTAGAGATTATATGTTCCCTGATAGAGTCGTTTTGTTTGTGCATTGTTAATCGCCTAGAGAGACACATTGTTTTCTTGTATATATACTGAGATCTTTGGGGCTTAAAACCCCCAAGTGGACATGTAAACCTGGACAGTTAGGCGAGAGAGGATTGACACCCACCGTTTACCCACAAGACCAGCCCAAGGCTCCCTTCAGTGCTCTGGCACAGAGAAAGCCTGGCGTAACGGCCGGCTGCGGCTCGGTGCGGCGTGGAGTGAGGCCTGTTAGGCGGACGAAGGCAGGAAGGAAACGGAAATGTTACGGCATGGGGTGTGTGTGCAAACCTGGACTGTTAGGCGATATACGTTTAACGCTGCATAAACGACGTTAGTCTCTCTTAAGGCATTTTGCTCGGTGTCTGGAGAGTTCTTCATAAATAAGTTGACCGTCTTCTTGTTTTTGTAGTTGTGACGATAATCTCTTTCAAGAGAGATTGAGCCTGCTCTTCCCTATATCATTCACGTCATGTTACAAGTACAAGATACTATATTTAAGATACGTCCACCAGTATCGCTAAACGTTTTGCCCAGGAAGCAAAGCGTACCTTGCACCACCCGACACGCCGGCTCCTCCGCCCGCCTTCAACGAGCAAACTACCCATTCTCCGCCTGCCTGCTCCTGATTGGCTGGTGTATCGCCGACTGCACCTGCACCTGCACTCACGCCCCCCCCCCTCCTACCTGAGTCGACGTCTGGGCCAGCACACGCCGTACTCCTCAGAATATCTCTGTGCTCTTAGGAGTTGACATCTCTCTCTGGTAGACAAAGCCCTGGCTGTCGTGTACTAAGGGAGGTGGCAGCTTAAGCCAGTATTCTCAGCACCTGATTATATTATCATTATTGACTTGCACTTTATTTTGTTTTAGAGTAAATTTTACACCTATTAATTATTCATGTTGTTTTGTTTGTGGACTTGTTTTGAATTTTACGTAAGCCAAGGGATTGTCTTTGTTCATATCTTGTTTTCTAGAGTAATTAAAATTTCATTGTTTATACTTTGTGTTTTGTGTCTTCCCATTACCTTACCACAGACAAACAGGCAAGCAGTCTCTTTTTTTCTGTAAATGTGACAAGGCATTGCCACCTGCCATTGGAGGACTGTCGAACATCAACACTACAACACTTTACCGTCACATAGTAAATTGTTAAGTGTATCTTCTGGTTGGTGTCTGTAGGGATAACGTTCCTATCAATAATATCTTCTTTGCCAAGGCTTATAAAACGGAGGAAAGAGTCCTGAAAAATATTATTGACAGGAATGTTATCCATACACCAACCAGACGATACAATTAACAATTTAATACAAAAACAAGATGGTTGTTTTTGGAGATGGTTTAAAGTCGGTATGCTGTGTTGAGGGGAATGTTTTGAGCGTTAATAAGGTGTGTAAGGAATTAACAGCAAGGGCGGACATAATGAAATCCCTGAGTGGTGTTACAGGTTATTACTTGAATTGTATGTGTTCAAATATATGTATGTTGTTTTAGTTTGGAGATTTCAACAGGGCATTGTGTCATGATCTTTATGTTTGGGACTGAGAGATAATTATACTAAACAAATGAGATACTTGTCAGTTCAGACTCAGTGTTGTCTTCTTTGTTTAATATGAATGGGAGGTAGGCTGGTTCATTCATTCCTATGTTCAATAAACGATCTTTTGCTAGACACTATAAATATTAGGTATAAATGTTCAATCTGAGGCATTAATATTATTTTCTTACAACTCAGTCTATACTATAAGTATTTGAACAAGCCAATCTATAGTTAGGTGAAGAATGAATGAATGGGTAACAAAATGGGATATTGGTAGGGTCTTCTGCAGTTTTATATATGTGACATGAGGGGTATAAGAAGATATATAAATATTAAAAGGGGGTATTAATTAGGGCATTTATCTTTGTAAATACCAATGTGAACATTGTACTATATCCTTCCTATACATGCATATACCTTCTGCAGTTTATTTAATTTTTTCATAGTGGTCGTTAATGATTGGTTCAACATTGGGTGTAAATAAAGTAGATTCTGTATGGTCCCCGCCCCCCCCCCAAAAAAAAAAAAATAAAAGGCCATTTGTAAATTATTATTTTCAATATGCAACCTTTTAACTAGAAACAATATTTAAAAATGGAATTTAATATTAAATCACTGAAAATGTGACTTAATATGTAAATATAGAAAACGGACTTATCAAAGATGAAAACTTGCTGGCTGATGACGTCATTGAACATTAGGGATAGCTGTACCTGTGCGCATCGCCAAAGTCACTAAATTTAGGCATGACAAAAGAGTGCTGTTTTATTTTCCAGGGAAAAATAGTAGGAGCCGGAAGGAAGCATTTTAATCCCAATGGAAAAATTGTCTAAACCAAATCGGGTGCAGGTGCGTTTCACGGAAAAAATTGAATGCCAAATCGGTGTATGCGGGTTTCACGGAAAGTTTTACTGTGACAAATCGGGGCAGGCGTATTTCACGAAAAATTTACTATGCGAAACCGGTGCGTAGGAAAAATAATATAAAAGGAATTTTTGTTCCATTTCACGGAAAAAAAAGTGCGCCAAATCGGGGCTGTCGGGTTTCACAAAATATTTATCATGCAAAATCGGTGCAGGCGGGAAAAACAAAACTGCACTGATTTGGCATATTATATACTACTGCTGCCCACCCTGAGCTGCCAGTCACCCCGCCGCCCTCCCGGAGCGGCCAGTCACCCCGCCCCCTCCCGGAGCGGCCACTCACCGAGACCTGGCTGGTGCGGCCATGGTGGTCCGTCTGGAGGAAGCGCTGCAGGCGGGCGTTGGAGGGCGGGCTGGCCGCGTTGAGGGTCCAAGTGATGTCCGCAGGCGGGTCGGAGTGGCCCACCATGCAGCGGGCGGCCACCACGTCCCCGGGCCGCACCCGCGCCCCATCCACCACGCCCTCACCCTTGCCTGCACCCTCCACCGTGCCCTGGATGCCGCCCCTTACTTCCGGACCCCACAAGGGAACCTCTGCAGAAAAAAGTTCAGTTGGCTTTTAGAAAATATTGTAATGTTGTACCAAGTGTTGTAACATATACATTAATATATATGTGGCACATATTATTTATATGGTAAATATTATTTATGTGTGGCATATATAAATAATATATACCATTACACACAGATCACACTAACGTGATGCATCAAATGAACAAATCCACAAGGGCTGTGACGAGGATTCGAACCTGCGTCCGGGAGCATCCCAGACACTGCCTTAATCGACTGAGCTACGACAGGGTTAAAAGGGTTTCTTTAGAACTTCGGTTTCAACCCTTTTAACCCTTTTGTAGCTCAGTCGATTAAGGCAGTGTCTGGGATGCTCCCGGACGCAGGTTCAAATCCTCGTCACGGCCCTTGTGGATTTGTTCAATATATACCATATAAATAATATATGGTTTGGGTTAAGTGGATTTTAAAATCTAGTTTTGAACTAACCTGCAAATGTTTGTCATATTTAGTAATTACCTTAATCAATTAATAAGAACATAAGAATGAAGGTAACTGCAGAAGACTTGTTGGCCTAGGCAAGGACCCCTATTTATAACCATCCAATCTCATTCATATATGTATAATCTACGCTTGAAACAATCGAGGGATCTTACTTCTATTATGTTACACGGTAATTGGTTCCACAAGTCAACAATCCTGTTACCGACCCAGTATTTACCCAGGTCTTTCCTAACTCTAAACTTATCCAATTTATAACCATTGCATCATATTTTATCTTGTATTGATACTTTTAATACCCAATTATTATTCCCTTTGTTATGTCCATTCATCCACTTGTACACCTCAATCATGTCACCCCAAATTCTTCGCCTTTCTAGAGAATGTAATTTAAGCTTTATCAATCTTTCCTCATATGACAGGTTTCTAATTTGCAGGATTAACTTGGTCATTCTACGCTGGACGCGTTCTAGTGAATTTATATCCATTCTATAGTACGGCGACCAAAACTGAACCACATAATCTAAATGGGTCCTAACTAGAGTAAGATATAGCTGAAGAATAACACCAGGTGTCTTATTACTAACGCTTCGATAAATAAATCCCAGTGTCCTATTTGCCTTATTTTTGAACATTTATGCATTGATTTTTTGGTTTCAAATTCTTACTAATCATAACTCCCAGATCCCTTTTGCAACCCGACTTCTCAATCTCAACACCATCTAGCTCGTATATTGTAGCTCTATCATCATTACCTAGCCTCAAAACCTTATATTTGTCAGCATTAAACTGCATCTGCCAATCTTTTGATCAGTTCAAAACCGATTCGCTGCTGGCGCCATTGCTGGCTGGCCACACACGGATTTGTTCCCGGAAAAACCGAGCCCCCATCAGCTCAAATCAACGCGGTTTTGTGAGGAAGAATACATCAATACTCTAAGACCCAGACAATATCTTGTTTAGAAGGAAACAATTCCAATTTTGTCTACAATTGATGGAGAAACAACGTTGTTGATTAACTGCGGTCCAGCTGACTGGTATTCTGCGCAACCCAGTATGCAGGTGATCCAAACTGTCGTTCTGCACTCTCGACGTCCATGACCGAATTTTTTTTTTGAGGACCGTATCACTGACCAGGTCACTTAGTCCTTCCCTGAAGGACGAAGCGATACCTCGCGGGCATCGCCAAAAGGGGGCACCTTAAAAGGTGTACTGAGCCTGACAGGGAAAGGTAGACCAAAAAGCTTATTTAGGTGTTAGATATTCCCGATTCCATTTGGGGAAATCATTCTACGACCTCCATTGGAGGAGAATGAATTTCTCCAGGCCTAGGAGTGTCTCAGGCATTAGGTAGGGCAGTGAATCAGTCCTCACTACGCAGAGAGTCATGGGGAAGTCAAAGACAAAGAGGCAATGGATGGACCTTTCAGACGAGGAGGGACAGTGGACCGAGGTGCAGCAGGCACCGAAGAAAACTGCTATCGAGGCTTCACCACGTGCTTCTACCAGCAATAAAGCAGACATAATGGGTCTAGAGAGGATGCACATATACGTATATAGGATATACAAATCATATACACCAGTCACACACCAGCCAGTGTCAGACAATGTACTTCTTTCCACAGCCCAGCCACAGGACAACAGTATTAGACAGGAGATCACACCACCAGTCTCACACCAGACATCGTCAGACTCTGCACATCTTCCAAAATTCAAGATAATGCAGACAGACCACTTTCCTACAGCATATGGAATAGTAACGACAGTGGTAAAGGAAAAACCAGAGCTCAAACTTTCCATCACAGTCAACCTGAAGGGAGAAATAACAATGACACCACGAGACCAACAGACTGCAAATTACTTAGAAAAGGTAAAAGTCCTGCAAGGGAAACCTGTATGCTTGGAAAAGCTGGACCCTTCAGAAAGATGCACATGAGTTGTGCTATTGGGATACCCAGTCGACTTTCACCTGGATCCAGTACTAGAACACAAGCAAATCCTGAATGCAGAAAGATGCCGCACAAAAGTAAACAAAGCGACACGTCAGGTTCCGGTGACCGTCATGGGACCGGCAGGCATGAACAATCAATACAGCCCAATATGCAGCAAAATCAACAACATGTGCAAGAAACATTCAGTCTTGGAAATTGGGGCATACCAACAGAGTCCATACGTCCCGAAACCCCTGCGCTACTTCAGGTGTCAGAAATACGGCCACCGTCAATCACGCTGCACCGGACAGGAGAGATGCGGAGTGTGCAGCCAGAGACATCCAATCAAAGACTGTATAGCCAAGCACAAGGCAGACCAGACCACAACAGCCAAATGTCCAAATTGTGGAGGCAAACATCATGCCTGAAGCACAACCTGCTCTACACGGAAAAAAAGGTGAAGACAGCTCAGGCCAGGATACACACACACACATACACACACCAGTACTACATACACTAACACCAACACCAACGTCTGGAACACTCGTGCACAGCCACAACACACGTCCACTCTCACAGAACAAAATTTCCCGAATCTATCAACTCCAAATCAGAAAATACACAAAAATGCTGCAGAAATACAACAAAAGCAAAAAGGCAAAAAGCAATTACTTTTGGAAACAACACAACAAATTTACAGTTTTACCGAGGTCCAGCTGTAAAACATTGTGAAGATCATGGCAGAGACCATTATCAATTGCCTACATATGACGCAGAACGCCTCACAACAACAGACTCAAATCACTTGTGTGATAATGGACAAGATCGTGCAGCAGACCACAGTTACACAAGAAATAGACAGTTTGAGTCAAGGCGAAGCACAAGAGGACAAACAACGCGATATGGACATAATGATTACCAACAACAGTCGGGTAGTCAAGACACCAGAACATCAACATTCACAAAAGCAACGGCAAGAAACAGTGACCATGCAAGATCAAAAGAATCTTACAACACAAGAGACAGACAACAGCCAATGCAGTCTGATATGCAACAACACCAACAAAGAAGTATTGAACAGCAGAGATGCTCAGGTTCCAACAACACAAGAGGCAGGCATGAACAATCAATACAGCCCAATATGCAGCAAAATCAACAACGAAACGCTGGATGGCAGAGATGCATAGATTCCGACAACACAATAAACTGTCACGAGCAATCAATGCAGTCCGATGTCCAACAATACCAACAGCAAAGCGATGGACCACAGTTATGCACAGATTCCAACAATGCAATGGATGACCATGAGTAATCAGTGCAGTCCGATTTGCAGCGACACGACTTGCGACGTGGAGAATATACATATGGATTCCGAAGAGGAGTTCTACTAGAACAGGCAACACCAACCGAAACCGTCGTCTGGCCTTTACGAACACTGCAGTGTAACATACAAGGTCTCGGAAATAAAAACCACACACTTCAGGAAGCTGCAATCAGTACGAAAGCAGATGTAATTGTTTTAGAAGAAACTCTTTTTTTTCCAGCCACAAAGTCCTTCAGATTAGCTGGATATCAGCACTATATTATTCCGTATGAACAGGGGAGACAAAGAGGATTAATGACCCCTAGTCAGAAACACTATACCCAGAAAGTAAATAGACTCAGTGTCATGTGGGGATGGAGTAGAGGTATTAGCAGTAATGGTTAATATTGAGCTCCTCACATACAACGCCTACAAGCCTCCCTAGACATAAACTAGAAGCAGAGGCAGTGCTTGCCTTGGTCATGCATGAAAATGTAATTATTGCTGGGGATTTCAATGTTTATCATCAAGAGTTAAGTGCGACTGGGCCAGCCAATACAGATGGGCACCATTTAGCTGCAGCTCTTTGAGAAATACCTGAGATTACACTTATCAACACTGGGGATCACACTCACATTCTAGGAGGTTCCCTTAATCTTACATTGATCTCAACAGCACTCAAACATCAGGCGAAGTGGGAGGTAGACCCAGTGATCACCTGTGACCACTATGCTACTGTCACAACACTAAATATAGAACGACCTCCTACACCACCTGCACAACCTAGGTGGAATTAAAAAAATAAACGAATATATACTAAGAGGAACTTGAAAAATGGTGTACAACATACACGCCACCTGAGGATTTGAACATACACGAGACCAATCTGCAGGAAGCCATTGCAGCTGCTGCAAACAAAGCTATTCCAATCATTATCCCAGGAAACACAAAACGAAAGAACTATTGGTTCTATAGTAATGAAATTAAAGAACAAAACCGCTGTCTCAACATCTTCAGAAAACATCTAAAGAGAAACCTCACACCAGAAGGAAAAACTCTGCTAAGAGCAGTGATATCTGAAGCAAGACGAATTTTTAGAGAGGTAAAGGAGGCAAGATGGTTTGAGTGGTGTCAAACTCTAAATGAACATAGTAGTCTTGGCAAGATGCGGGATCAGATTAAGGTCGCCACCCCGACCACAGGCATGTATTCAACCATTGCAGGAAGCTGAAAGACTGTCCCTTCACCAAACAAGAACTAATCAGAGCCAAAAAAAGGTGGTAAGGACG